CTAGTTTAGGATTGAGTGGGAATTGATTTCAAATTGTGGTCCAACTAATTATTCTCCTCCTTAGATGTTACGAATAGATCTAAGACTATATATAGCTGGTTATAGAATTCTAATATCAATGCAAGTGATTCATTCAAGTCGTCACTAAGGAATCATACTGAAGTTTGATTATTTCTCCATGCGCTAAGAATAAACCTAGGGTTATATTTAAAGATAACTTCCAAGACATGAATAATTGCATTTTTGTAAATAAGGATTAAATCAGTATAAGAGAGGGACAAAGTAGTGAAATCTAGTTTCAACATGTTTTTATCATATTGAAGTTAAAATTTTACTTAAAATTGTTTTAGTGCATCTTTATTACCTTAAATCAACACTTTTTATACATCAAATTTGTTTTCATACTTATCGTACAACTTAAACACTTTTTTATTCAAATAAAAATAGTTTGAACACTGTATATTCTACTAAATTCATATTGATACGACTCTTGTTATATTACAAACTATGCAATATACTTGCTAGAAAAAATGATTACAGTAGAACATCAATAAGAGAAAAATTCTAATTTTGGGTCAAAGTTTGAAGACTAAAAACATGTTTAACTTCTTCTCTATCTACTCATATGGTTGTTCCCAACACTCATTCACTAGTCTCAACATATTAATTAGGTCCCATGGTAGACAGAAAAAATGACAAATGCATCACAAAAGATATTGACATAAGATTGAAATTATTTTATGTTCCAAATTTTGATATAATTTAGTCCCAAAAAATTGAAAAGATATAATTGTCATAAGTCAACAATATTAATTTTTTTTAAGTATCAACTCTGTGTTGTTTACACTCTTTGACACCTTCCAACTCAAATGTTAACCAAAAATATTGTTTATCATGTAGAAGAAAAATTAACATAATTAGGTTAAAAATACTAAATACATTCAATTTTCAAGGTTGAGATTAAAATATATCACAATTTGGAAGAAAATGAATTATAATTTCACATCCAAATTTAAGAAATACAAACATATTTATTCTATTTAAAGTGCTTTATATTTTAATAATAATATTTAATATTTACGTTCTTGAAAAATATTATGAAAATAAGAAAATTATCCATACATTATATTGGTAGAATACTAATTAGAAACAACCAAGAACTTTATATGACTATCTAATGTCAAAATTACTTTTTAAAAAGTTATAATGTGAATTAACATTAAATTAGTGTTTTTATAAAAAAGTAAATAAATTGCTAATTATGGCTTACGAGTAACCTGCTAATTAAGTTTAATGTAATCTGTAAAGCCATGTAAGTTTATGTTTAACAAGAGAAAAGCGATTAAGGGGGAAAAAAGAAGCAAAAGAAGTGATAATTATGAGCATTATGTATAGTTTAGAAGCAAAGTCTTCTCCTACAGGCCTCAAAAGGCAGAGTNAATTTGGAAGAAAATGAATTATAATTTCACATCCAAATTTAAGAAATACAAACATATTTATTCTATTTAAAGTGCTTTATATTTTAATAATAATATTTAATATTTACGTTCTTGAAAAATATTATGAAAATAAGAAAATTATCCATACATTATATTGGTAGAATACTAATTAGAAACAACCAAGAACTTTATATGACTATCTAATGTCAAAATTACTTTTTAAAAAGTTATAATGTGAATTAACATTAAATTAGTGTTTTTATAAAAAAGTAAATAAATTGCTAATTATGGCTTACGAGTAACCTGCTAATTAAGTTTAATGTAATCTGTAAAGCCATGTAAGTTTATGTTTAACAAGAGAAAAACGATTAAGGGGGAAAAAAGAAGCAAAAGAAGTGATAATTATGAGCATTATGTATAGTTTAGAAGCAAAGTCTTCTCCTACAGGCCTCAAAAGGCAGAATGTAGAAACAGCCTAAATCTCTAACAATTTCTTCGATCAAATCCTTGCAGATATAATCTTGCAAAGCTAACCCAATTCTTCCAAGCTCTCGTTTTTCTCCCCAGTCAACGTCCCTACACACTTCATCCACACTTTTTATCATGGCTTTGCTACTCCACATCACCAAATGGTCTTCGTCGCTCACTTTCTTGTACCCTGACTCACATGTCATTCTCTCGTATATGTAAGTACTGCTGATTTCTTCTTCTCCCGGCTTCTTCAACAACTGTTGTTTTTGTTGTTGTATTCGCGCTGCACACAAAAATGTCATCATCATCGTTAATCATATTATGTTTTAATCCATCATACAGATACAGAAGTAGTACTATAGATAATAATAAGAAGAAGAAGAATTTGTGCTTTGTGCTTTAATCTTGTTAAAGAATTGGATAACATTTAATATAAAAAATAAATAATTTGAAAATTGGACTTATCAACGATGTAGTAGCAGCAGCAGGCAAGCAACAACGCTCTTGGTGGTTGGGGGAGATGGGTGGTTTGGGTGGGGCTATAAATTAACAAATCCCTGAAAAAGTGCCTCTCTGGGTGGCAGGTAAAGCACCAAAGGTGGGTGTTTCTTTTCTCTCTCCACCCTCCTTTTTCTTTTGAACATCTTTTGACTGCCTCAAAAAATGAGGCACAGTCTCTAGAGTGAGTAATAAATTGTGGTCCAACATCCATCCACCAAAGTACTACATTTTATTAGTCTTTTGTTATTTAGGAATCAGAAATAATAAATATTCTTTAAGTTTGGTTTCTAGCTAAAAAAATATAGTAATTGCTGGGTAGAGAACGTGAGATATTTTTATCTGTGGTGAAACGTACAGAAAAGGAACATTAGGAGAAGAATAATTATTCAGTGGTTTGGTTTTAACAGATATCTCTGGATCACTTTATGTTAAATTGGGTGCAAGATGATTGCAGTGGTAAAAGGGAATTAATCTGTCTCCCACTATGAAGGTCATGATGGTATACAAAGAAGTTATGATTTCGAAACATGGAATCCTAAAAATCATGGGCAGCAGCAGTGTGCTTTTCGATCAAACATCATTGTCTCTCCTCTTCAAGGGTAAGTACTAACTACTTTAACACCATCGAATGTAATTACAAACTATGCTACCTTTCGGGTTAGGGATTCTGGATGTCATTTCACAAAATGACAATTAAGATGCTTGGAATTGGCATTATAGCACATGCCACTTATTTATTGATTTCAATAATAATAATAATTAAATAACTTTACTTTTTGACTTGGCATAATCTTAAAACTAATTCCAAAATTTAAAGGAAAACAATTTTGCTACTAATCCAAATATAATAACTATGCTTAATTAGCCAGCTGTGCCCATTCTTTGTCCACTTTAGACACATTTCATACCTAACTAGGGTCTAAAGAAAATACTTTTGGAAATTTACATTTCAACTTTAAACATGTGTTCCGATCAGAAAACAAAAACTTTAAACATGTGCAAAAGATTAGATGAAAGGGACCAAAAGAGGTAATCAGCTCACCTAATGATCTAAATCCTATTCCTTATCCTGAAAAACCCACGGATATAAAAACATGGAGTACGAAATAGTAACAAGGAATGGAATATTCAGACCACATGAGTTAAAACTAGATTATAGAATCATTTTTTTAGGATTATAGTCTCGATTTCTCTTTCTCTTTCATTTTATTATTATTAGTAAGTATCGTCCGTCTTCGTACCACGCATATCTAGCTCCAATAAGATGATAATTGAGTATTATCTAAAACTGAAACTAATTTCCTAACAGTGTTTTGTGGGAGAATTTTCATAAAATTGATTTCAAAGAAATATAATTTATGTTTGGATGTATTTACTCTACAAAATTAATGAATTTTCGGAACAATTTTTAGCTAACGTAAGAGTTCAAAATCAATTATAGAACCAAAATAAATATCTTAATGTAGAAAAAAGTGAACATTTGTAAAACCAAAGCCGTTCCAAGAAAAATTTCCAGTATAACAGGTTTTAAATCAACGAAGCTAATTACACTTCTTGAGTCCATGCAGAAGTAGAATTAAGCTACTTTATTATAAGCATATCTTAGAATAATTTACAAAATGAGAAGAATTATCGTAGATTTTTATTTGGCCACATTAATCTATAATTAAAGTGAAAAAAATAATTTTATCTAAATTTAAAATGATGAAAATGCTCAATGGGAATGGATACTACGGTTAAGCGGAGGCTTACCAAATGAATGTCGTCCCGAGGGGCAACTCGGACTGAGTGGAGAACGAGTGAACTCGTCGAGCACGGACACAGGACTCGGTTGCTGTTGCTGTTGCTGTTGGTCACCGTTAACCACTGAACACTTCACCTCCGAAACCGTTCTCAACTTATCATCCAAGCCAACGGAAGCCAACGCCGGCGACGGTGACTGCCGAGGAGGATCTGCCAAACGCACGGACTCGATTATCTTCTTCAGCGCTTTGAGATCCTCGTCGCATCTCTGCAACGCACCGAGCAGCTTCTGCCTCTTCTCCGCCACCGAATCCGTCGGCGCAGGAGCCGCCTCTAGTCCCATGAGCCTCGCTACAATCGCAGGCCCCTCGCGACGGCTCTCCTCCGGAGCCGCCTTCACAATGGAGCAGCGAATCTCCGCCGGCAACGTCGGGCTCCGCGGAACCTCGCTCGACAGCTTCCGTTCGCTGGCGGCAGCCTTCGCATTTTCCGGTCGCGAATTTTCGGCGGCGGCGGGAGTGGAATTCTTATTAATCTGCCTCTTTCCTGAGAATAAGGACAAAAGAAAAGAATATTGTGTGACTAAAATTTTCCGAGAAAGGAACGAAACAGATATGGTGTGGGCCCGAAAAAATGCGAAACGAAACGCACCAAATGTAAGGAAGCGCCGAGAGCGACGCGCATTGGAGCTGGAGATGAAGTGGAGAATGCCGGACATGCAGCCGATTGTTTTGGCGTGAAGCTTCTCCGGCGGAGTTTCTCTCCGCGACGACGACGGCGACACCGCGCTGCTTTGTCGCTTCATCGGTCTCTCTTTGTCTCTCTCTCTTCCTTGGTTTGACTCGCCTACCCCTGTGTTTGTGTGAAAGAGCAACGGTTATGACAAAAACAACGTAAACTAAAGCAAATTGCACGTGGAATGTTAATTATCATGTCTCGGTTACTTTTCCTCTTTTCGTTACTGCCTTTCTTTTTCTTTTTCTTTTTCTTTTTCTTTTTTATCTGCGGAATGGTAATTAATTTGTTAATAATTACGTCTCTCCATTCTATTTTCCATTCTGATTAAGTATTATTATTTTTTACAATGTGATTAGAAAGAGTATTTTGTTTAAGAGAGGTTTGTTGCACGGGATGTGAATGACACCCCAAAGAAAAGGAAAAGTAGCAGTAAAAGGAATGGTCAATCGGTCATGGCTTCGGCATCCAATTATGCATGACACTCATTATTAACAATGGAGTCATGCCCCTACTTGTAACCTGCTTTCAATTTCAATTATATAACAAAATGAAAAAGAAAAAAACTACTTAAACCTGGAAATTCATTATCTTAATCAGATTTATTTATTCCTTGCGAGGATAAATTAATCGTACTTAAGCATCTAATTAATAATAAATTGACAATATTATGTTAATGATATTACTGTTGCGACCTGTTTTTACACTTAGTCATAGTACCTCATCATATCAATAGTTGGAGTGCATGATTAGGTTGTGTGACCTACTTAATTTATGACGTAGGGAATACACTAATTCTAGTATTCTCTAACACATATCGATCCCTTCCTTATTTATTAGGTCATCTGACTTACAAGGATAAGGGATACCTAATTTTATTAAAGTTACCACTTCCATATTTAGTCTTTTCATCTGTACTTTTAAAACCTATTGTGGAAAATATTTATCACAATATATAAATATTTCGAAAAGATTAACAAGTCATTGGCTGTAAAATTACATAATTATATTTTTATCCAAAACTTAACATGAAGTAATATAGCACTATTGTTCATACCGAAACAAAATTGGATCTCCAAGTCTAAGAAAAATGAAATATATTTTTAAAATTATTTTCTATATTTTTTTAATAATAAAGTATGTTTTTTGAAGTTATTTTCTATTAACATCACCTTATAGGATTACAGAAAAAATATATATTTAAATTATCTTTTACTTCCATTCAATGAGATTTTTAATATATCAAAACAAGTCTTTTAGTAAAGGTCTAAAAAAAGTATAATTAATTTTTAAAACTAATTTTTCATTTTTCAAAAATTAAGGATCAAAGGAAAGAATATTTGATTTTAGAATAATTTTTTCAATCTTATATAATATCAATATGTTAACATTAAGTATGTTAAAATAATATTGTTTTAGTCCATTACTCAGAGTATTATTCACTTTAAAGTTTAGAATTTCGTCTTAATTTTATCCTTAAGAAGATTAAGAAAAAAAAATTAAATTATTTTTAAATTTATAAGTGATATTAAACGGTTAAACATATTAAAACAAAACTAAAACTCTAAGATAAAAACTAATATTATTTTAAATAAACTTTATACAAAAATTTATGAAAGGAAACAATTGTAACTAATTTAGTCTAAATTATATAATCACGTTAATACTTAACATGTATAAGAGATCTACTCTTTAAATTAATAAAGGCTGATCCTCGTCCCGCCCTCTCAATTAAATAATTAATGAAATCATTCTTATATTTACATAATCAGGTTAATAATCATTTTAATCAAGTTAATCACTATATAGGATAATGAGCATGTTATAGATTATTTCGTATTATTTTAACAAATTGTGTCACCTCAATGCATGTCTTTTACTATAGCATGCATAGGAAGGTAACCATATAAAAATATAATCAATGGATTCCCATTGCTTTTGGCTTATTCAATGATTACCATTCATAGCTTAAATCTAAAGTCATCGATTTTAAATAAAAAGAGAAGAAAATTAATATAAAAGATTATAGTCATTGTCTCACCGATGTCAAGTTGGTAAAACCCTGGAATTTTGTTGCAAAAGAAGAGAGTTGTTCTATTCTTTTATACATACATATATATATCATAGACATTTGTATCTTATATTTTTCAAAAAGTGTAAATTGCTTTTAGAAGCTATCACACTTTTTTAAAATTTTATTTCTCAATATTTAGCCAATGTTTATTTTTTTTACTTCCCAAATAAAATAATGGTGAAATTAAGAGCCGTTGGATTAACCTGGCGAAAACATCAAACACTCCATGATAATTATGAGAATTGGACTAATTGCGACTTTATCTTTTAGCTTTTTGAGGGAACTTTTTGGTTTAAATCTAGTTTTACATTTTACGTAACGAGATTTGTCTCTTTCTGTAAAACAATTTCTTAAAATAATTTCTTAAGGTTGTAGAATATTTACTTTGCAATTCCTTAAATAAAATGTTTATTGAGTACTTTGAATAACGTGCAGTAAATATGTTGACCTTTCAACAACCAACAAGCTGAGAGAAAATAATTAATAGCCACCGCAACTTTAAGGCATTCTGCGACCACACTTCTAAAAATAAAGCAGCTTCCCTATCATTTTAGAAAAAGGAAAAATATAAAATTGTCATGAATGTATCTATCTGCAGGTGTTGTTAAGCCTCAACATTTAGTAGAGAGAGGGGAAAAGAAGATGAATGGGAAAAATAGATGAAAAAAAACTGAGTGGAAATGAGAATTATTTCATTTTTTTTAAATATACTTATAATATTATTTTTTATTTATTTGTATATATTTATTATTTTAATTTTATTGAGAAAAGGAAAGAAACATAAATGTCATATAATTGATTAGAGCTATGTTGATTAATTATTTTGGAAAATATCGTCCAATAAGTAGAGAATGCATTATTTTTTCTTTACTTTTTTACATTTTTTTGGCACTGAAAAACCTCGGCGAGTCTCTTGCGAGTTTTATTTTAAGCAACCTAAAAGTAAAGCTAGTATGTCTATTTGTTTAATTTATTGATGTATATATATATGTGTAATTGTTCGATGATATATACTATTTGAGATTTTTTGGCTTACATTTAAGTAATTGTATGAAATTTAGTGTGATTGAGCATGTTATGTTGGATTGCGTGATTTATGTCAAATACTTGTATGGGGAACTAGTTTGTGCATTATAGTATTAAACACACGAATTTCTTAATGAAAATATATATTTTTGTTTAACTAACGATCTAAATTGCATGAAATAAGACATTAGATGGTGAAAAGTTGGAGGAAGAATTATTCCAATTGTGTATTATTGGTTGTACAGTTATTTGGGTAATGAAATTATCTTAATTTATTGAGTTAAGGATTGTGTGTAAACTAAAAGTGTTTAAATTAGTTTAGGTGCTAATATTTAGTGAGACATGTTTGATACAAATATTTTAGGATTAAATATGTTTTTAGTTCCTAAACTATCAAGCGATTTTGTTTTTAGTCCCTCTTTCAAAGTAAAGTACTTTTTGGTCTTTCACCTTTAAGAAACCATAATTTTTCGTTCTAAAAAACCAACGACGTTAAAAAGAAGCTGAGCTGGCTAACGGTGGAGTGTCACGTCATGTTTTTTTCTGATACTGAGTCAATATGTCTCTTATCGTATGGTAATGCC